TCGAATCACGCCATTCATGTAGATCCCAATCCTAATCGAACCCGGCACCACGAAATCACGGGGTACCGAAATTCACCATGACAATAGTAATTAACATGCAATTTATGAAGTTATAAACTAGAAAAACACACTTGTTAATGAAATTATAATTGAGAAGCAAAAATTTTTTTATTTCAAGATCAAAAAGTTTTGAATAAAATCTATAGTATTTAATTTTGTAATGAATCTAAAATGGTTAGTTTAATACAATTATAAGATTATATTCTTATCATCTGGAAAATCATTTTCAATATTATCACCAATATTATTACCAATTTGTAGGAATAGTTTATAATTAATATTTTCATTTCAGGTAAAACAGTTATAAAATTTTTGATAATCAATTTCTTGCATTTTCATAAAAATTCAATTGCTTCTGCGTCGACAAGAGACTCATAAGTTACCTAGGGATGGAAATTATACGATATAATTAAAATTGTGATATAATAACCAGGTTATTATACCGTATAATAACTGTATAATAAATTTCTAGAAAGTATATATGGGTTTGTTACGTGCTTGCTCATTTTTATGAAAAATTTCATCTAAATTTCTATTGGCTAACTTTGTTACACTAAAATATTATACCAATTATACTGAATTTTATTAATTATATTATACCAATTATACGGGTTATTATACCATTTTTATTATATGGTATAATATAACTGCCCATCCCTAAAGTTACCACACCATTTGATTATAAAGCAACTAAAAGATAAAGTGAATTCCAGATTTTATTTCAGTTCTTTAACTAGCAAGTAGAGTAGAAGGGATGTGATATGAAATCCATCCTCTTAAAATTTTTGGTGGTGGGTTCTTGCTCAGAGGAATACTTTGTTCAATCTTTGTTTTATTGGGTAAAGATTTAGACCCATTAGGTGTTTCCTGAGTTGCAGCATAAAACAGATTGATATAATGTTGTTTGAGGCTAACAAAATGTTTCAACTTTTCAATTTTTAGGGATATTTTGATCTCATTGTATTTTTTGAAAGTGATATTCCAGGTAATTAGATCTTCTTTGATCAAATTTATATTATTGTTTGATGCTTTAGCAGATATAATTAATGTTTCATCATTGACAGCCCTCGCTGATATATTAACTTTATCTTGTAGTGTATTGGCAACTTCTTTCCACTTAACTATTAATTATGAATAAATTAAAATTAAATATTATTAATTTTAATATTGAACTTAACATATTAATTATTTTAAATAATAGATAATTTTACATTTTTCAGTATTAGTTAAATCGTTATTTTCTGCTTTTTTGATTGTTGATGATTTCTTTGTTGATTGAA